TTTCTTTCTTTCTCTTTCTTTCTCTCTCTCTCTCTCTCTCTTTCTTTCTTTCTTTCTTTCTTTCCTTCCTTCCTTCTTTCCTTCTTTCCTTGTCTCCCTTCCCTTTCCTTTCCTTCTCTTCTCTCTTTTTTGCTCTTTTCTCTGTTCCTCATGGTTGACCTTCTCTCTAGGCATGATTTCATTGCCCTGGTATTTTGTGCCTTGAAGGTGCATCAGGAAAAAAGAAAGATACTGCTGAGCATCAGGAAAATTTTATTTGGTTTTATGCTTGGAAACAGCGTATCTGGCTTAATAAAAAGTATAACCTTTTCATTAGGAAAATTATGGTGATTTTAAAATGAAGTGCAAACCATTTTATGTCTCCCATCTGTTCTATAGAGAGAATTGGCAAACACAGAAAGTGACTTTTGATAGGTCAGTAGGCTTTGTGTGAAATTCTTGCTGCAGCTTGGGGCAGTAGGTTATATATGCAAGTTGGATCATAGTCTTGTACTTGCTTATTAAAGAAAAGCAAGTTAGTTTATTGGTCTGTTTCATTTGTTTTTACTTGAAATACTTAGAGATAAGTTATTTACTCCATTTCATAACATTGTACATCAATTCGCCAGTTACTTATGAAAAATGGGATACTTTTCCTTTGACATGTGACCCTATTCATGCAGTACTGTGTACATTTAAATTCTGTGGAATGAAGAATAATTCAGAAATTGTTTATTGTTCAAAATTAGTGTTTTTCTATTCTAACAAGAGAAACATAACCCAATAACAAATTTCTTAGTAAAAAAAAACTATAATGCATTCCTTCTTTCTTGGCTGTGAAGTTGTTTTGTGAATTTTTTCTTTTCTTGGTAATCTTCAATGAGAACTACCTTATATGATAAGTTGTAATGAAGAAGCCATCTACTAATCTGGGGGTTCTTTTGTGAAATTATATAGGTAATTTTATATTTGTTTATGTAGCTCTTGTGAATTGGAACAAATAGATCTTTAATGGTCTTTTGCCTGACATGAAAAGAAATTTCTAGCTTTTGCCTCCTGATTTCGCTCAAAACCTGCACCCACCATCATCTTTCCAACTTCTCCTGTTACTGCTTGCCCTTATGCATCTCCCAGGGGGAAAAAGAAAGCTGAAAAGTAGCAAAGGATGGCGGACGTTACTTTCTTCTAAAGCAAGTCAGGAAAGAGGCAGGGGAGGGGTTCAGAAAATAGTAGCCAGTGTCCCTCCTGCTGACAACCCAAAGCCTTCTTGGGTATACTCTAGGCTTTACCAGTGAGAAAATCAGATGTCATTCAAAACTAGCAGTGCTTCACCAGAACCCATGGAATCAAGCAATGTCAGAGAGAGGACAATTCCAGAGTTGCTAGTCCCATCACCTCTGATGAGTCAAATGACCAGATAGAATTCACTCTATTCTCTGAGTCTCCCTTTCCTCATCTCTATAACCCTGAGTTTGGAGTTTGTTTCTAGATTTTCTTGTCAAGAATGTTTCATGGCTTGATATTTTCTGACCCTCGGCCAGTATTCCATTTTAGATTTTTACTGAGGAAGATCCTTAGAGCCATGAAGTTTATGTCAACTTGATACCAGCTGCTGAGAACTTTAGTCAGTATAGTTTAGAGGGACTTTCAAAAGATGGTTAAGAAACCCAGTTGTCAGCCAAATGTAACATCCCAGCCATATAGAATGGTAAGTCCCAGAGGTTCCCCTTTCTCTGATACTGCAGCTGGCACAGAAAATCTGGAGAGGTGCAGTTATAGGCATAGTAAATGTCAGTCCTGCCACAAGGGGAAGGATTTTGAATATTCAGAGAAATTGGTGGCCAAATGCAAGGAGGTAATCCAAGGGGAAATGTCAGGTGCTGCTGAAGCAGAGGAGGCAAACCCATGTCTGCTATTGGCCAAATGCTTCAGAAGAGGATCTCAGGAAACATTTGGAAATCAGCTGGCTGTTCATGTTGCAAAATATTCTTCTACGTAGTGTAGGGTCATCTCATTCATGTATTGAAAAAGCGGGCTCCGAAATGAGATCACCTTGGATACAAATCCCAAGGCCATCAGTTTCTAACTGTATAAACTTGGACATGTTACTCTAACTACTCTGAACCTCAGTTTTCCTGCAGAAATAGTAATTGTACCTATGACACGCTGCAGTGAACATTAAATGAAACAGTATGTGAGAAGCATTTGACCCACGTATTGCTTAAAAATAGGAGTTGTTACTTTAAGAACTTGAGTGAGATTCCAGAGCAACTCACTGAGGCTTAGGAAACCAAGAGAACTGCGTTAAGAGCACCACCTAAGGGGGAGCAACCAGTATCAGGACTCAGCCTCTAGCCACATCATTAACAGAAGGAGCTGTCCACTCCCTGCAGGCTGACCTGACATCGACAGGAAGAATATAATGGTTAATTTTGAAAGATTACACCACTAGGCACATATGCAACTAATGTCTTTTATTTCTTAACCAATGGGAGTGGAGGGACAGGGAAAGAATAGGCATTTTTTTCTCTGTTCATGATTAGAATAGGTAAACGGTAACAAATTAAGCCTAGTTTGTACAATTTTCAAAGATGGTCAGAAGTAAAACATCACTAGAAAATTTAGACAGGGTATATTCAATTTGCCTACATTCTTTTTTTATAGCATGTTAATCTGCTGTTCTATACGTTTTGCTTTCTCTTTCTCTCCATGCTATATAAAAATAATTGGACAAATAATTAGGATAGAAAGGACCTTACCAGTATTGCCTAGTTTAATGCCTCAACCTCCTTTTTAACACATGTAAAAATCTTGATGAGTTTTGAAGAATTCTTTCTCTCCTACGTGCTATGCTAGACACAGATTGTGATTACGTAGCCAGAAGTTTAGAGGGCAGCCTTCGAACATAATTATACTAAAAGACAACACAAAGGGCATTCACTGTCAAAAGGAAGATGGTAGAGTTCCTTCATTTCTGCGCAGATTGCCATGTTTGGAAATCGGAAAGACTCAGAAATGAGAAGAAAAAACTTTTCTTATTTTTTTCCCCAAGATATAATTATCTTGAAAGAATGAAAGTAACAACTGATGAAAAGCCATCTGGGGTAACTTCAACCTGGGCTTTTCATTTACAAATAGGCTTGAGATGCCGACAGTGATTTTGCTTGTGTATTTCTTGCAGAAAAAATGAAACATAAGAATTAGAAGAAATTATAATGACACAAAACACCACAAATTAAAAGGGTGTGGTTTCAAATTCTTTTCTTTTATACAAAGTGGAAAGTAGGCCACAGTGGGTAGGGGCAGCATTCCATCCTTTATTTTGATGTCATGGTCTTTTCTTCCCTTCTCAAACCTAATTGTCAAATTGGCAGTGTTTTTCTAACTCAGTTTTTATAGTGGAGTAAAAACAGCTATGCTGATTCAGACACTGCAAAGTAATTGAGACTATTTTGCCTATTTCAGCAAAATGATTTGACATTTAAAGGTCAGATGGCATAGTGTGATGTATAGTTGCAGTGAATTAACCATATTCCCTTCTTTTCCATTTCTGTATACACAAATAACAAAATCCCTTGCTGAAAAGAAAAATTGGAATTATTTGTACTTTATTTCCTTTCGTGATTTGAAGTCTTGGGGTTTTTACATCTGTAAAACGCATGTGGCCCTTTGTCTGTGGCCAGTCATGTGAGGCGTGAACAAGCCTCATGCACCCTCAATATTCTTCAAGCTCCAGGACAGGAGGGTCCCCCCAACTGGAGCTTTCTGAAGGAAAGTGATACATCTAATAGCAGTTTATGCCACCTTTCTTTGAAGAACTCCAAACTGTTTATAAACTAAATCTTATATTGCGTACCTCTGAGTTTTATCAATAGATGGATAAATTTGGATACAAGAAATTAAGGCTTTGGACTTTTTAAACTTCACGCTAAAAATCTAGGTGTCAGTAGCACAGCAAATTGAAATTTTCTGTTCCCGTGAAGTTGCTTACCAAATGACAGCTGGAAATCTTAATTGAAAAGGATATATCCTCTTTTATCTTTTAATTATATTTATATTTTAAGTGTATTTCACACTCTAATTCAGAATCAGTACTGTAAGGGGCCACACAGTAAAAATTTTAAGTTTCATGGGCCACATACTGTTTCTCTTGCATGTTCTTCTTTTTTATTGTTTTACAGCATTTTTTAAATGTAGAAAGCATTTTTTGGCACTCAATCAATACAAAACAGGCCATGGATTGTTGTATTTGTCCCACTGTCCCTAGTTTTCCAACCCCTGTTCTAAATTAAGAGGGGAATTAAATTAAAATCCTTGTATGAATGTTTTTATATTGCCTACCACCATCCCACCTAACACTCACCAGTGCTATGGATGTTCCTATCCATAATTAGTGATCTAATACTCCAACTAATATTGAACTTGATATAATCTCCTTCTTCCATAACCCTATGAAATTCTGTGCTTCCCCTAAATTTAATGTCCATAATAATGACCTTTACTTGCTTAATGGCTGAATTTGCCAATGGTCCGTTAACTCCTTGATGACAGGGAGGGAGTCTGTCTTGTTCCATTCTGTATCCTCAGCACCTAACAAACTACTGTCCCTGAGTAAGTAGTCAATCTGTATTCTTTGATTGAATGATTAGTTGGAAACCCAATTCCCTGAATCAGCTGAACTAAAGGAGGAATGACGGAATGCCAGATCAGAATAGCCACTGCCAGGAAGATCACTAAGCAAATATCCAGCTAATGTGTAAGCAAATATTCCAAATAATTCAGGCCAACATTATATATAACAAAACATATTTATATACTTCAATACTTTCCTGTTCTTAGGGAAAAACCTAATTGGTTACAAGAAAAATAAAAATATCAAATTTTACTCAGTCATGATAAATTAAATTTTAAGCTTGCTCCACTAATTCCATGGCTATTGAATGACAACTAACCAATGCTAAATGGTAATAAAAGTTCTAGATTCAGTTTCAAAATCAGGAGAATTTTAGCTGCAATCTTGTATCTTCCAGCCTCATTATGAACATCTTCCTTGGTTTATTAAATTATTTACAGGCTATTGTGTGTCTAAGAAGTTGGGAGATTTTATGGTCTAAACAATATAGATGTCCAATTCTTTTTTTTTTTTAATTTTTAGTACCTTGTTAGGCATGTGACTCCTGAGGTCTTGCTTTATATTCCAAATATAATAATATATAATGAACATACTAGCTGGATTCTTTGAAAACTGAAACTTACATTTGGATTGACTGAATGGCCTATTTTGAATAAATTTTCTTTTGAGGCAGTCTTTACAACATAAAATATTTAGAAAGAATTAGATTGGTATAATTTTACAGTGATCAGTTAACAATATTTAAAGTCCTTGGTTTAAATCTCCTCTTTAATATTCATTTTCTTCTTTTTAAATAAAATTTAGGAATTAAAGCTTTAGTTAAGACAAATTTACTAGTTTTCTTATTGGAAACATGCAGCTATTTTGAATAGTTGCCTAAGCTGTGCAATATTGGAAGATGGCTTCTTTGCAATATTTGCTGTGTGGTTTTCTTTGATTATAACTGAGATGATATGCACTAAAAACGTCAGTGATTTTCCTTCTTTTAAACAGGATTTCATTTCAGGTGGATCAAGGAGTGAACGTTGTGATATTATTTCCAATTTAATAAGCAAAGGCTGTTCGATTGATTCAATAGAATACCCATCTGTGCATGTAATACCAAGGGAAAATGAAATTAATACCCAGGTGACGCCAGGAGAAGTGTTGATCCAGCTGCGTCCAGGTTTGGTGATTTTCAAATAAATCTATAATGATTCTGACTTGAAATTACATTTAGCTTTATTTGCTCATACTTAATATTTTGTGGAAGGCACTATTATTGTAGTAGAAATAACACTGGGCTCAGAATCAAGAAGTCAGAATTTTGCTCTTTTTTGTGCCTATAGCTAGCTAGCTGTGTGGCCTCGGACATTCTCTGCAAACCTGACCACACTATATTATAATTACGTGTTTCCAGACTTGATCACATTGTAGTGTAATTGTGTTCCTATTCCATTGCCAGCTCTGGAAGAAAGAGAACTTGTTTTATTCCACTGTTTCTCCAAAGCCTCACAGAGTGCTGGCTTGTAGTAAGCACTCCATAAGTATTTGTTGACATGATTACTTGATTAATTAGTAAGAGCTGTAAATTAAGCTAAGCCCTTAGAGCCTGTGTGATAAAATTTTAAACACAAAACTACAATTCGTAATTATCATAATTAACTTGACCTATTTTGTGGTGGCCCCTGAGATTAACACATATTTCTCCTCCTATACTTCTCTTGTACTTGCCATTTTATCACGTTGTATTCCACAGTTTGGCACATGCAGTAGGCCACTGGAAATTATTCATTTTCCTGTGGTGCTAGAGAATCCCAGTGTACAAACCACACATGGCAAGATAAGTTCAGGTACACAGGTATGCATCAGTCAATTAGATGCATTTAGTTTTCAGCAGTATGCAATTTCCTTCAATCCTCCCATTATTTCATTCTGGGTGGTCTTGTCCTTTCATTAAATTTTTAAATAACCATTATTGACACATGACCTCCCTTTTCCAAAGCTGAGCTATTTCTTCCAGATTCTTAGATTACCAGAAAAACAAAGTCTATTTCTTTCTTGGCTTTAGACATATTCCCAGCTTCCAATTAAAACTATGCTCTTCACCATATAAAACAGCCCAGTGTGGACATATATAAGCAACAGTTGGAAAGGGATACACAAAAATGAAAGAAATTAGATTGGTAAGATTATGCCATTCATTATCTTCTATTGCTACCATAACAAAATACTGTATAATAGGTGGCTTAAACAACAGAAATTTATTTTCTCACAGTCCTGGAAGCTAGAAAGTTTAAGATCAAGGTACTGGCTGATTTGGTACCTGGAGAGGGAGAGAGACACACCCAGAGAGAGGGGGACAGAGAAAGAGCTCTGTGGTATCCCTTCTCATAAGGGCACTAATCTCATCATGAGGACCCCATCCTCCTGACCTCATCTAAACCTAATTATCCCCCAAAGGCCCCATCTTCAAACACCATCACATTATGGGTTAGGGCTTCAACACATAAATTTGGAGGGAAAACAATTGAGTCCATAGTACTTGATATATAAAATAATATTTTCAAAGGCCATGGAATATTTTTAGATATTAATCATATCTTAAACAAGAAAACTTAATCCCAAAAAGTGAAACTTTTTATAGGTCAATATCACTGTACACTATGCAATAACTTTTGAAATCAATATAAGAGGATAAACAAATATTAAATAACAAATTAAGAAAAGCTTTTCCTAAATATAGTCTGTCTCCAAGAATAAATCAAAACTCTAGCCATAGACTATTTAATAATTACAATAACAACAACACACATCAAAATATATGGGATGTGATTAAATTTGCTCCCAGGAAAATTAAAAGCTTTAAGTGCTTTTATTATTAAAGAACGAGCAAAAATTAACTAAGCATCCAAATTAAGATATAGGAGCAACAAAAAGAAAATAGCCATAAGGAAAACAAGAGAAAGGAATTCATAAGTTAAGAAAAGAATTATGAAATGCAAACTAGAAATAAAAGGGTAAAATTAATGTATAATTCCAAGAGTTGGTTCTTTGCAAACTCCAATAAAAAGAGATAAATTGTTGTCAAAGCTGATTTAGAAAAGAAGAAAAAAGTAACCTAGTTATAACCAAAGAAACAAATATTAAAGAAAAAATGACTACAAAAATGTTAAGCATAAAAATCTATGGTAAAATGCATAAATATTGATAATATACCTAATTTTAAGGAAAATACATATGACTAATATTGCTCAAGAAGAGGGAGATCCCTAAGAAACCTAATAAAAATAAAAGAAATTAAGAGCATTGTAAAAGAAAAACCCACATTGCGTACTTAATGTTTTCTTGGGAAGAAATGATTTCATGTTCACCCAAACATTAAGAAATGCATTATCCCTATGCTACATAAACTCTCCCATTAGTTTTTAGAGAAGGCCTAGAAGCTACCCAATCTGTACAAGGTTAGCATAACCCTAGTATCAAATCCTTAACATTTTAGGAAACCAGATTAAATCATATGTGATAAGAAAAATAATGCCAAAAGGAAAAAAATATATATTGTTATCTCAACAGATGCTGAAAAATCATACAGTAAAATTTAGTGTCCATTCTGCCAAAACCAAAACTGAAGAATAGTTCTTTACTATGTATTAAAATCCTTCTGGAAGTTTTATATAAAAGCAGTTAGACTAAAAAGCCAAATACAAGTTATAAACATTTTGAAAAGATAAAGCAAAATTATCATTATGTGTCTCTGGTAAATCCAAGCAAATCAACTAAAATTAACTTTTAAAATTAAAAATAAAAAACAGGGGCACCTGGCTGGCTCAGTCCGTAAAGCATGACACTCTTGATCTCAGGGTCATGAGTTTGAGCCCCACATTGGGCCTAGAGCTTACTTTAAAAAAAATAAAAAATAAAAAATAAATTTCTGCCATCGTTATATAAACAAGGTATACATATTTTTAAAAATAAATAAATAGAGGGGCTCCTGGGTAGCTCAGTTGGTTGAGCAACTGCCTTCCGCTCGGGTCATGGTCCCAGGGTCCTGGAATCGTGCCCTGCATCGGGCTCCCTGCTCCGCAGGAAGCCTGCTTCTCCCTCTCCCATTCCCCCTGCTTGTGTTCCCTCTCTCGCTGTCTCTCTGTCAACTATTTAAATAAGTAAAACCTTAAAAAATAAATAAATAGATAAATAAATAAATAAGTCAGGTTGTTTTTTAAAATATTCAAATCAATGAATTTCCTATGTAATATTAAATATAATGAAAAAAAGGATCAATTCATAGCAGCAACCTAAAATGTAAACTGTCTAGGGATAAAGTTTTTTAAAAAATGTATAAGATCCACTGTGCAACCTTGAAGAAGATATGAAAAAGTGCAGAAGAGTTTTATGTTCCTGATTAGGAGGACAATACTTATAACAGTGACAGTTTTCTGTAAACATACTCTATAAATGTAACAAAATCCAAATGAACAAATAAATATAAGTCAATCCCAATCCAACCTGAATGAAGTTTTTTACAACCTTCAATGATACTTGTTATGCATGTATCTTTATATAAAAAGACATTCATTTAGGATACATTCTTATAAATAGATTTACTAGGTCAAATATATACAAATTTACTTAGGTTTTTAATGTATGTTATCAGGTCATTCACAAGAAAAATGGATGTCTAATTAAGGCTTTCATGAGTCAACCTTGCCTTCTCATTCTTTTCAATCTTTTCAGTTTTTTAAGTGTAACTACTGTTACCTGTTTCTTTTGCCTTTTTTCCTAGTACTAGGAAGCTTCCTAAGCTTATTAACCATCTTCATTCTCTTTTTTTGTGTGTGATATGCCTCTCCATACAAATTTTCCGATTTTTCTAACTAAACATTACCTTTTATTTTAAAGATTTTATTTATTTATTTGACAGAGAGAGAGCACAAGCAGGGGGAGCAGCAGGCAGAGGCAGAGGGAGAAAAACAGGCTTTCTGCCCCTGAGTGGAGCGGAGAGCCCCGCAGGGCTCAATCTCAGGACCCTGGGATCCTGACCCGAGCTGAAAGCAGATGCTTAACTGAATGAGCCACCCAGGGGCCCCTAAACATTACTTTTCAGTAGCTTATACATGAAGTTTATCATATATTATTTGCTCCTAATAAATGTAACTATATCCTTTCAAAATGTCTTGCTTTTTTTTAAAAACTTGGGATTTGAAACTTACAAGGGTGCATTTTTTTTATTGGTGTGTTACATTTAAATTTATATACTTAAATGAATTTAGTTTGTTCCTTTTTGTAGATATAGTGCTGGTTGAATCCTCCTGAGACTAAAAATTAACAGTTCAAAAGTTGTCTAACTGTTTCAGTGCTATAGATAAGCAATGACAGTAATGGTAATGAGGCAGGAGAGAAGTGGAAAGACATGAGGGATAATGGGAGGTAGTGTCCCCAGGGGTTGGTGTCAATGAGCACGGGGACACTTGGGCTGTGGCTCAAGCAACAAGGTAAGAGGGGTGGCTGCCCTCTATAGAAGGTGTGGTACTGAGTTCAAACTGAGACATCTTAAATTGAGGTGGTGACTTATTTATTATATATGAGGCTGCAGTTCAGCAGGAGATACAGGTTGGATAAAGATGCGGGAGACTTCAACATAAGGTGGTAAATGATGGTAAGTGAAGGCAGTATGAGGGGTGGGAGAGTGAAAAGAGAAATGCTTAATATCTATGTCAATCCTTATGGGGCTTGATTTTATTCATTTTCCCACTACTGTTTGAATTTCTGTATGCAAATTAATGTAATTATCTAATGTGTTTAAGTCATCTTTCCAATGTAGCCATGACAGAACTATATTTTATAATATGCATATATAACAAATGCTTATTAAGTTATATTTAATAAGTTCATCTAAAAACTACACATGGCATCAAAGATGTGCCAGCTTTGAGGCATAATATATGAAGTTACATTTTACCAACTCCAGATATATAGAACGATCACTCCTCATAATATAGAAGTCCTTTCTACCATGACACATACCACACATACCTAACTATAAAATGCATTTATTCTCTAATATTGATTTTGATGTGATTTATTTATAATCACTTCTTATAAAAATTCATTACCTTCAATGTAGCATCTATTACGAATTTAAAATTTTTTTCATGGATACTGATTAAACTTTTTAAAGAATATTAGTAGGACTCTATTATATATTTATTTATTTATTAAGATTTTTTTTTTTATTTATTTGACAGAGACACAGCGAGAGAGGGAACACTAGCAAGGGGAGTGGGAGAGGGAGAAGCAGACTCCCCACCGAGCAGGGAGCCCGATGCGGGGCTCGATCCCAGGACCCTGGGACCATGACCTGAGCCGAAGGCAGACGCCTAACGACTGAGACACCCAGGCGCCCCCATTTTATATATTTAAAATGAGATTTAAAAGTGATATTTTCTTTCACTTTTTACTTCTTAGAATATACTTTTTTTCTATTTTTACCTATCAATCTTATGGAAAAATAACAGAAAGAAGCTACTGATCCTACTTGATATTCCCTAAGAACACCAAAATGAAATCTTTAGGAAGATAGAAGAGAGAAAGAAATTCTCCAATTGTGCTTCAGAAGTAATACAATAAGGATTAGTGTAATTTATACCTCACTAATTTAAGAAAATCTTCCAAACTCAATTCATTTTAATATCGTAACAAAAGAATTCCCTTTAATTTAGTGTAGCTTAACTTAAAATGTAAGATTTTTCAGGTATTCTTGCTAAATTCAAAATTTTTTTAAAAACCAGAAAAATACAGATATCACGCATCCTTTCCCTTCCACCCCTGGCACATATCCCTCATTTTATCCCCCACAGATATTCAGAAATGTGCTGGAGTCTGTGCCTTGATGTTTCAAACCCATCTCATTTTTGGGCCTTCTCCTTCCCCGGCCCAAGTACAATGAACAGAATTTGGCTGTTCTTTCTTCCTACCAGTTTTCCACGTTTTCTTATGGTTTTTCAATTTCATCTTATGCAGAACATTTTTAGTTATCTTTTCTTAATGTCCAGTCATGGTTGTAGCCAAGTCTTCAGAGATGTTCACACCATTATTTCAGTGATTTTAAACTCATTCTAACTACTTTCAATTCTTTGGCTATTCAAACCAATACTGGCAAAAGTTCTAAGTAGGTCTCCTCCAAGTCCTCTTTCTTATTCTATGTCACAGACCCACTTCCCTTTGAAGTTGATTGATGGAAAAAAGGATCTGAGCCTTTAGAATCTCAAAAGGTATAAGAATGAAGCTTTCTTGGAGATAATATAAATCGTGGCATAAACATTTTGGAGCCAGGTGACACTCTTTCCTCTCAAACAGAGAAACTAAGTTTTTCCTACTCTGTAGGAAATAATTCATAGATAATGAGCTTCTCACTAAGGTTAAAATATGGGGACCTTTTGAAATGATGTATCAAAATGTGCTTCAAATGTAGTTTAGTTAAACACATTTATGAGTGACTATGCCTGACCAAACCCAGAAGCTTCAGAGATAAGTGAAAAGTTTTTATGCTAATGATGTTTAGTAATACTAATGGTATTACTAAGTGATAATTACTAACACATATATATTTACTGTGTACCAAATACTGGAGTAAATATTTTAAATAGACACTAAAAGAATCTGCTCTCAGAGTAGTATTTATGACACTGCTGCCTACATTGATAACCTCACAGATATTAAGTCTTATTTTTACATGTGTTTCTTTCTCGTCCAATATATTCAAAATCACATTAATGTCATCTGCCTTTTGAGCCCTGTGTTGTTGGCACCCCATTATGAACTGAATGGAGATTTTATCTGGGGACACAGTGTCCATGTTCCCATAAAGAGGTATTTCTACTGCCTCTGAGAAGGTTTCTTCTTCATATATAATGAAACCATCAAGAGCCAGCTTGAAAGCATACTTGGAATATCTCAAGCTCATGGGCAAAACTCCATAATCCAAGCTTGGCTTCCTCCTTAACAAGCAAAGTGGGGTTTGCTTGTTAAGGCAGCCTACCTAGGGCTGCCTACATTGAGCTGATGACTTAAAGTTAGAACTTTATGGGAACCTTAAGTGCCTTGCAGTTTATTATTTTTTAAAAGATTTATTCATTTATTTTAGAGGAGGGAGGGGCCATGGGAGAAGGGAGAGAGAATCTCGAGCAGACTCCCTCTGAGCATGGAGCTAGACTCAGGGCTCCATCTCATGACCCTGAGGTCACTACCTGAGCTGAAATCAAGAGTCGAATGCTCAACCAACTTCCCCGCCAAGGCGCCTCAAATGCCTTGCAGTTTAGAAGTGGTAATTATCATTTTCTCCAGCAATGACTAAAAGGCCTGTGTATGGAAAGAATCTCTTTTCCCCTTTATTAAAATTTTGTCTTACTGAGGCCTCAGCCCATGCTGAGGTCTTCCAGTGACCCAGGTACATATCTGAGACCAGCATTTATATAATTCAGAATCAAGCTACCGCAGCCTAAACCCTCCAACCCTGATCGTTTGGCAGGCTTCCTTACAGCCATCTTCTTTGCTGAGGCCAGTGAGACGGGGATTTGCTTGCAAGGCTAAGAGCAGCTGGTGTGTGCTGAGGGCCCTTGTAGGGCTAACATTTGGTTGGACCTCTCTGAATATCTTAGTTCTCTAAGGACTGTGCCTTTGCAGTTTCTGTTGGCTAAGATAACCACCAACTTTATAACAACCTGGACAATATACTAACTATCTAGTGTATTTTTCAATAACTCCATGAAAACACACAGCAATTCATCCTTAGACAGAGCCACCATAAACTATAATGATCACCAAGATGAAAACACCATGTGGCCAGTGCCTTAGGTCTTCAGCCTTATACCCAAGTCAACATTTAAAAAGCAACTACACAATTTGTGAAGAAGAAGAAGAAGAAGAAGAAGAAGAAGAAGAAGAAGAAGAAAAAGAAGCAGAAGAAGAAGAAGCAGAAGCAGAAGCAGAAGAGGAGTAAGCTGATCCACATATTAAAACACATGAACCACACTCCCCAAATATGCTCCATTTCTGTTTCTTATCAATCTGGCTCTGTCTAGATTCTGACATTCTCCTGAATTGAACTCCACCCAAACTGCAAGACACTTCCACAGGGACAGGCCTTTTTACCAGACATTGGAAAAGCAGAGCCGAATATATGCTCTTTGGAGGCAGCCCAGCTCGTAAAGGGAAGGAGTGAGAGAGTGGGCTGGGTGGCTTTCACATCTCCCAATTTCTCCTCCCAAACTCTTGGGCCAAAAAAACTGAATGTTACAATAAAGGGGTTTCCAGCATATACAGGCAAATTAGGAAGGAGTAATTTCTTCCATAATTATTATTACATACCAGATAAACCTTATTTTGAATACGTTCTGTAACTGGTTTAAAAACATCTGATTTATAAAATAATTTAAAAGAAAATATTGCTATTCTTGAGCATATTAAGACTTAAAATATGGCTTGATAAATAACAGGATTCTTCTGATGGGTAGATCAGGCTATCAATTGTACATACAAATTGGTGCTCATTATTGTTCTACTCAAATTACTCTCCACTGACAAATAATGACTTAGAAAGCATTTACTTTATTGTTTAAAAAAGTAAAATTCACAAATTGCCCATATTTAAAGAGATGACTGTTTACCATATATTAACTGGTTTCCAATTATGGAAGGAATAAGTCATGGGAATAAAAGGCACAGCATAAAGAATACAGTCAGCGAAACTGTAATAGCTATCGAATGATAATGCATAGAGAACTAAATAAAATGGTATTGTGTACACAGTTGTTGGGAAGGTCCCACATTTCTCCTCATGGGGACCCTCTCTTCTTGTCTAGTTCCTTTGCTTCCATGATCCCTCTTCAACATACGTTTATCAAGTACCCACTATGTGTTAGACAAATGCTGTTCCCTACATTGCCCAGGTCCCCAGAGTGGCAGTGCTGGGTACAATTCTTTAGACCGCTGTCTCATTCCTTCTCAGGACTAACTGTTGGGAAGGATCTCATCATCTAATTCATTATGAAGTACTACATATCCTGGACAGGTTAACCTACTACTCAGTACCAGAGTTTTCACTTCACATATGTAAATATGCCTTAACCCAAAAGGATGAATTCGTACTTTCATCCAACAAGAGGTAACTTTTCTTAAGATGCCTTTCTACTTTTCTTCAAACCAAAAACCTCTTTCAAACCACGACAGCCACCTACTCTTGAGATAGAACGCTGCTTGCTATATTGCGCTCTTTTCCTAGATACTAAGGGAAGTACGGGTTCATATGGTGATAAATGTATTCTCTATTACATTTATATCGAGCTGGTCCATTTGTTACTATCACTATCTGCACCACAGAATTGTGAGAAATGCATTGTAGAAGTTGGAACTAATAAACTGACATGGTTTTCAAATTGCCTTAAAATTATTCCAGGATATTCCTAACTTCATTCATTATGCACAAATTTGTGTTAGTTGTTCTGTATATAAAATGTGACTGATTCATTGAGAGCTTATCCTGAGATGTTTAAAATGAATACTACATAATGTCTGTCTTTCTTTGAACCAGAAGCTGAAGCTAATTTTATGCTGAAAATTCATCCTCTGAAGAAATACCCTGTGGATCTTTATTATCTGGTTGATGTCTCGGCATCAATGCATAACAATATTGAAAAATTAAATTCCGTTGGAAATGATTTATCTAGAAAAATGGCATATTTTTCCCGTGATTTCCGCCTTGGATTTGGCTCCTATGTTGATAAAACAGTTTCACCATATATTAGCATCCACCCAGAAAGGATTCATAATCAATGCAGGTATCTAGGGGTTGATGTGGACTTCATAATACCAAATTAAATTTTTTCTTATAAAATCTCTCTTTGTTTTTATATAAAGGACTCACTAAATTTTATATTTTTGTTTTATTAAGTGAGAAATGAAAATATTTGGAGAGGAGGTATGTTCCTATCTGAAAACTTATGAGATTATGGGTAGCTTGGACTTTTTATTTTGTTTTTTCAAATATCACTCAGTTTAATCACAAAAAACCCACAAGTAATATTAGTAATTTTGGATAAACCCCCAATATTCAGGCCACCATGCATATAAATACCTGTTTGAGAATTCTGTATGTGTCCTTTTTGATGGCTCCAAATTTGTTAAATTAAGGTTTGTCAAATTTAAAATACTTAATGTTGCCAGTACTGCAACTATCTTTACATTACTCTGTAGTGACTGTTTATAATTATGTTGCCTAAGATGTGACTTCAAAGACAGTTCAGCTAGGACATGAAGGGTAGTTGGAAAGAGGAGAATTTGTCTGTTTTCTGGAAAGAGACCCTTTTCTTATCATTTGGAAAGTCCGATTCTAAAGAGCATATGCTGCACTATGAAACAAGAACTGACCTTAAAAATACAAGTTTCTCAGACAGTATCTTAATTAGCCTGTTGAGTTCTCAGAGAGAAATGTGTTCAGTTCTTCCTTAATATAACATTTCATTTTAACATCATCTTTCCTACTTCCAGGAATTGCCCAGATCACTTTTACAGTACACACTCTCATCTACCAAAACAGCTCTGCTGACTATTGGAATGAATACATCTCCTCATGGAGCTTCATGTTCCTTCTCCTTAAACGCTCATGTGCCTGAGGAATGATTCTCACTTCTTGGGACATCATGGCAGTCTCAAAACAATTTTAATAAACTCTGATTGTTCATCAATAATTTCACACCAAGCAACACTTTAAAAAGTTAGCACAATATTTTTAAATACCCAGCAATAGTATAATATTTTCACTAAATTCCTAAAAACAGTTCCCCAAAAGTGTTTTTCAGCTGCCCCGTGGTCAAATACGATAGGAAATCACTGCAAATTCTTATCTCCTCTTAAAAATTAACCATGTATATTAGCATAATAAAAGCTCTTTAGGTGTCCTATATTAAACATGCTTAATCTTCTTTAGTTTTTGGACACCAAACCATTATATTCCTATTTCCTACTTGCAAAGAAATATCCACCAATATTGAACTTTTCTCTGATTTTATAAAGTACAGATTTTCTCTAATAAAATTACCTTGACAAAAATATATTTTTATACACATATAAATAAAATATATTTATATAAACATAAATATTTAATATATAAATATAAAATATATAAATATATGTTTGTATTTATATATATATATCTTATATACTTATATGTTTATTTTTATATATGTATATTCCTTTCTTACACCAAACCACACAATTTAAATGTGAATAGTATTTTGAATCTTTGAATGAAGCGTAGCAAAACAGAATTTGCATTTCTTCTTTTCCCATATAGTGACTACAATTTAGATTGCATGCCTCCTCATGGATACATCCATGTGCTATCTTTGACGGAGAACATTACTGAGTTTGAAAAAGCAGTTCACAGACAAAAGATCTCTGGAAATATAGATACACCTGAAGGAGGTTTTGATGCCATGCTTCAGGCAGCTGTCTGTGAGGTAAGAAGTTTCCCATTATCGAGTTTTTGCTTAGATGCAAAATTCTCCAGAATTTAAGATTTTTATTTTCTCTTTAATTTATAGAGTGAAAACATAATATAGAAGAATACATTCTTCTAATGCTTATTCCTCACCAATGTTACTGATTTTGGTATGTGTTCAGGACAGAGGGGCTAAATTGGAAGAGGGTTATAAATAGGAAAATATGAAAGGGAAAAAATAACTTATGCACTTGGAAAATCTTTTCCAAAAGAGTACTCTTTTCACTCACCACTTTCCAAGGAAGAGCCTGAAATAGCCTGTTTTCCTACCCACGTTGTGTTGGGTGCTCTGTACTTTGTAAACTTGGCTTGTTCTTCCTCTGGGGGAACACCAGAAATCTCTAGCTGGGAGTTGGTGCAGTCAAATGGCTGTGGTAAAATAGAGGATATACAAATAAAATTCAGTGCTACTTAGGAAACAGCATTGCATTTATGCACTTCATTCCAGCCTGACTTAATGTTTGTTAAACTCAAACTTAATGTTTCTTGAGATAAAGACCACAGTACAGATCTATGTTATTGTACAAGATCTAATTACATGTTTATTTTAAGAGTCATATTGGATGGCGAAAAGAAGCTAAAAGATTGCTGCTGGTGATGACAGATCAGACATCTCATCTTGCTCTTGATAGCAAATTGGCAGGCATAGTGGTGCCAAATGACGGAAACTGCCATCTGAAAAACAACATCTACGTCAGATCGACAAGCATGGTAATGTAGCAAAAGCTTCTTAGTCATTATGACTCTTTTGGCTGAAGAGTAAGTTTAAATTGGCAATTCAGCTGTTTTTGTACAAAGGAATTACCTAAACAAGCATGATACAGAGTCAGGATAAACCATGAGAGAGAAGTTATGGAATAACGCAATCTATAAATGCTGATTGATATAAGGCTAAAACACTTTAACAACATCCTGTAGCTAGCTCTCTGATATGCTAAAAAGCATTGTGTAATAGGTCAAAATAAAAGCGATACAAGAGCTTACTTTTTATACAAGTGAATAACTTTAAAAGGAAATACACACACACACACACATACACACATACACACACACATACATATTAGTTCTGCAGAGTTGGTATCTAAACACATATTAAGAATTGGTAAGAAAAGGATATTTGGCCTGAAGAATCCTCACAGTATAATAGGTACAACTAAATAGAGATTAAGAAAAAAAAAAAAAGAGTAAAAACAAGGCCAGCTGTCAATATTCTGGATCTCACTGCTTCCCTCTGAAGCTTATCTATATTTAGGGGCTCTTTTTTTAAACCAGTGGATATCTGGATTGCTTCCTGAGGGTTAGCTTCAGCTCTGAATCATATACTTAATACGATCGCCTAGAAACCACATCTTTCCCAGCATTAGCTATAACTCTATGTGTGGAAAATCAACTGTATAAAGCATCAGTTATTTCTGATGGAAACTATTTATACAGAATGTTAGGACAAAATCTTTCAAACTTTCTCAGATCTTGGTACCTTAGTGTCTAAATAATTTTTTCCTCTGGTTTTCATATGCAAAAAAAAATCTGACAGTTCTGTTATTAAGTAGTTAGGTCCAAATAACTTAACTATTAAGAACAGAGTAACCAGTTAAAAAATAATATACATGAATCATCAAAAAAATACATATATGTGTATATATATATGTCATTCTTAGTAATGAACTTACTAATAGGAACTTCCTAAGCATTAGAATCAGACTGGACATCACCACCCTCATTTTCTGTTCCACACTGATTTTCAAACTGCCCAGTTTTGCAAAGATAGGATGTCATCCAAAGGAACACAGCTAAATGTAATCTTAAAACCACAAACTACCACCAGCTAGGAGTTCATGGCTACCTGACAGATGCCAAATTATCACTTTAAAAATTAACAATATTTCAGGGCACTCTGGTGGGTGTACAAAGGCACCAACACACCTCCTGCACGGTTTGGGAATTGCAATATTAGAAGCATATAAATTGTGCTGAAAGTTGTGTGGTTCCATGAGTCAAGTTAAAATAGTTTAAATTTACTTAATCTGGGACATCTTACCACACTTACTGCAAATCTAGAGGAGCAAGTATGTTACTGCATAGAACAAATTCAACCCTTGGTTGGGTTAGCCTCTTGATAGCAGCCTCAAAACTTTAAGATTTTAAAAGGTTAACTAGAGTTTGATTTTTAAATTTTGGGATTTGGAATTATTCCAATAGTCTTTCCCTTTGCTAATTCTCTTCTATTCAGCCACATTTCACTTTGGTAGACCCACCCACTTTAATTTAGTCATTTCTTATCTTTCCTTCCTTTTATTTAACCTTTTTAAATTGAGATAGAGTTCTAATTATTTACCAGGGAGTGGAGGAGTCAAGAGGAACTATTTTATTGTGAGACAAGGAGAAGCTTTTTTTTTTAAAGAAAAAATAATAATCACATTTTCTCAAATTGCAGTGCATTATCCTTTTGAATTTTTGCCAAGTCCCTGAAATGTCTTTATAACTGTATTTTAGAGGGTACTGTTGTACATCTAGGAAAGATTCCTTATGGCAAAGAAATGTTCTCATAATTTTAGACATAGGCCATGCCATATAACCTTATGGAAATAAATTATAATTCTGATAGAATTTTACACAGCGTTTGGGCTCTTATGACATCAGGAATTTGGACAATCTATCATGAACTTCATTAACCTTCTTGAACATTGTTCCACCCACTTGAAAGAACGAACCTCCCACATGTCACTGATGTTTATTGAGTAAACCAAGGAGCAGTGTGTTTGTTAACACCGTAGAAGAATATTTGTATCTCATTTATCCCAGGTCTTTGTTTTAAGGGATCTTCTTCCTAAGAATTCTCATTCCCTTCATTTCCAGGGACACTGCCCTAAAACAAAAGAAGTTGAAGCATTTTGATTGATCCCTCGACTATGCATTTCTGTCTGCAAGATGTGCTACTGCTCTGAAACTTCCTATATCCAAAGCTACCCTGAACCTGACTCTAAGCACATTTACCTGCTTATTTTAAAATGATCTCCACCCTCTCCTATTTGGCCAGTATAGAGGAATTTAAGAAGGTATTAAGTTAGATAAGCAATCAAACACCTCGCTTCCCGGCTTTATCTCCAGCAGCCAATACCAGTAATGTTGAATGGTATCTGAGCTTTTTGGTCTAAGACTCTGGTTGTTTTATTTATAAAAGGAAATAACTGATAAAAGGCCTTTTACATGACTAAATTACATGGGCCAGAGTTCTACTATTTGTACACATAGCTATTTCATGAGGGTCAATGTGAATTCCAGAATAATAACAACTACCTTTATTAACTGAAACCACTACAGAAAACACTGCATAAGGGCGCCTGGGTGGCTCAGTCGTTAAGCGTCTGCCTTCGTCTCAGGTCATGATCCGGATCGAGCCCCGCATTGGGCTCCCTGCTCCGCGGGAGGCCTGCTTCTCCCTCTCCCACTCCCCCTGCTTGTGTTCCCTCTCTCGTTGTCTCTCTCTCAGTCAAATAAATAAATAAAATCTTAAAAAAAAAAAAGAAAGAAAGAAAACACTGCACACACTATCGAATTTATCTTCACAGCAACTCTGTAGGGTGGTCATAATTATCCTTAAAAAAAAAAAAAACCAGAGTAGAAGTCCTTAAGTAAGTTTACTAAGGACAGAGAGCTAAAAAGTTACTAATAGCAGAGCTGGGGCTCAATCCAGTTCAATCTTACATTAAAATCTTTGCCACAATGTCTCAAGGGAAAAGTACAAGAGCTAGAGTGCTGAAGTCCTTGGCATAATTTCTGCTCTAATTTCCTGGTTGCAGTCTTACTTATGGAAGACATAAAGCACATAATTTGGTTCACATGAATAAATAAGATGTAATTTAAAATAGTTTCTCTTTACACATTATTATGTATTAGTATATGGCCATTGGAAAATAATGTTATACTGTTGAATAAATTACATTTTCCCCTGCTTTTTCTCCAAGGTCCAGAATGAAAATTTGAGTAGTAATATAGTTTTATAATTTATCCAGTAATAATGGCAGCTTAAAATAATGGAATTCTTTCTAATACAGTAGATATTAGTATAAAAATCATTAATAGTGTAGAAGAAGGTTATTAATACTGAGGGTCTGGAATTTCAACCTGTCTGCCCACCCAGCTCCTCCAGGGTGATTCTCAACCTCACTCAGAGCCTTCCTTACAACATTTACCCCATCCTTGGCAGAGGCCAAGAATAATACAAAGGTCTCTAGTAACGGTGAAAGGGAGCCAAGGAGCAAATCTTTGGAAGAGGCACACCAGTCATGCAGTGAACCCTTATTAATGGATTTTCAAAGGCTGCTGTGACTCTGCTCTGGATAGGGACATGCAAATAGACAACACCCTACCATACTCCTAAACCAATTTAGTAGCTTAGCTTTGGTATTTCTTTCTGGACTCAGCTTTTTTTGTGCCTCATCATATCATGGTCAGGGATTCTTCACCCCTCCTATCATATAACTCCTCAGATTTCCCTTACTGCTAGCCTCATAGTTTACTCCCTCCCCTGCAGCTCCTTTGGATATACTAGCTGCTGAATTGGTCACCACCTTAGAGGATGGAAGCTGAATTGCAGAAGGTTTATTAGGCATTACTAAAGAGTTTTGCTTCCTGATGGGTAAAAAACAGTCAATATTCTGCTTTGTGACTTCTCATATAACATGTTTAACATGCTACTCACTTACAGTAAGCCATGTAGGAAGCCGCCTTCTTCTTCTTCTTTTTTTTTTTAAGAGAGAGTGCAAGCTGGTGAGCCCAGCAGCCCATGTGAGCGGGGGTAGGGGGAGAGGGAGAGGGGGAGAGAGAATCTGAAGCAGACTCCATGCTCAGGGCCAAGCCCAAGGCAGGGCTGGATCTCACAACCCTGAGATCATGACCTGAGCAGAAATCAAGAGTCGGACATTCAACTTCTGTAGGAAGCCTTCTTTTTTACCATGTATCTCAGCTACTTGGAATTATATTGTTTTTCCAGAACTGCAGATGAAGAAAGGGAGCCTGAGAGGATACTTGACTCGTTTAATCCATAACACTGCTGAGTTAACAAAAGTTAAAGTTATTATATTTGTGTTCCTTTTTTTCTGAAAGGGTTATTTCTGACATTTGCAAATGTCTGGGAGACTCATTTATAATTAATGTTGTTATTAGACAGCATTCCATGTAAGGTGACAATTTTAATCTTTTAGTAAAAAGACTTGTTAATCATTTTTGCTGCTCTATAAGAAATAACTTAGAAATAACTTCAGAAAGTGTTAAATGTCTTTTTTTCTGCTTCTTACCTTCTTTGTCTCAGACACATATTAATAAAAATGTTAATTCATTGAGCACTTATTTTGCACTAACACAGTGCTGAGCATATTGTTTATCTCATTTAGTCTTCACCATAAGCCATGTTATAATAAGGAAGCTGAAACTTAAGAGACCTCAGATTCATTTACGCAAGGTCACTGAGATAATACAAATATCCGTCAAGATCCACACCTAAGCTATCCCCATTGCTGTGCTTTAATCTGATGCTGTGCTGGCTGCTTCCATTTATTACTACTGACCCTGAATTACATGATGTGCTGGACCCTCCACATATCTTAGCTCATTAACTCTCCCTATCAACTTGACAGAGTCAGCATCATCATAGCCATTCAGGATGGATGAAGTGGAGAGGGAAGGTAAACATCTTGCCCAGGATACTTGAT